AATTTAGCATCTTCACTCTACATTCATGAGAAATGTGTGAGAGGGTGTGAATGGTGGTCTTTGGCCACTTGAGTAAGAACGAGAGGGACCTAGCCACTCTTACAGGGCAATTCTGGCAACTTTCTTTGAACTCACCACAGTCTTTCGAATGAAAAAAGTTTTTCGTAAGACAATTGTCAATTCTGGCAACTATCATGATAGCTCTTTACTGCCTTTCGAAGGACTAAATGAAAGATTTGCTAGCGGGAACCTTAGCGTTATGCTCTTCGCCTTTTGGCAATACGTTTTTTGCTCTTTTGTGTAATATGTATTTACTTATGGAATCTTTCTTTCGAAGCTGACAATAAGTTTTCAAATCTTACAAAATATTACTATATTAAAAATTTCTGCGGCAAAAGTACTTAAAAAATAAAAAAAATGTAAATAATAACTAACAAGTAATTTTTAGCAAAAAAAAAACCGACTTAAAAAAGAATATATATATCTCTATATATTTCATGATCGGATCTAAACCAGATTAGTATGGGACCACCTCTGAGACCCTACCTTTCCGATGCAAAAAGAATTATCGAAATCGGTTGACGTGGTCCAAAGTTATGCGGTAACATACATAAAAAAAAAAAAAAAAAAATATTCCGACGAACTGATAACCTCCTCCTTTTTTGGAAGTCGGTTAAAAATTAAAAGAAAATTAAATTTAAGAAGTAAATTGAATTAAAGGAAGAAGGAATAAATAAAAAAGCTTTTAAGAATTAGATAAAAAAAATATATTTTTCGTTTTAAACAATAAAATCTAATAATTAAAAAAAAATATATAATAAAAGAATAAAAAAATTAATTTAAAAAAAAAAAAGTCAAATAAATTCTTTAAAACTAAATAAAGTTAAACAAAATATAAAAAATAAAAAGGAACCGAAAATAAGTAAGAAAGATAATTAAATTAAAGAAGGAAGAAGTGGAATCAAAAATTAAATATTTTTTTTTAACAATAAAATCTAAAAATTTAAAGAAAATTTTATAAAAAAAAAATAAAATAAAATTGAAATGAAAAACAGACAAAAATCCGCTGGTCGAGACTCGTACTCCCTATTAATCAGCCTTGTAGCGCGCGATGGGGATGCTCATACCCAAAGAAGTGACCCTATTTTCAACAAACTCTTTGTATATCTACCACAAGGGTGTCGAAACTACTCCCTCCTCGTATTCAGCGATGGTATACAGTTAAGAGGCTTTCCGGATATATTCTTACGGAGCTTATCGGCGACTGGTTCACCTTCTATAGTAATGATGGATTCGCCCTGCCGTTATCGACGGTGTTCCCCTCTTTCCATGTTTTTCTCTATGGACATCGGCAATCCTAAAATTTGTGAAGGAAAGTCGAGCCACCTAGCAAATGGTTTCAAGAATAGGCCAACCAAATGCTCTGCACTACTTTAAAGCACAGGCTACGGAAGAGACGGAGCCTCTGACGGAATTAGTATCGAAGAGATAAAGAACTGTGGAAAAAATTTCTAGTGAACCTAAGCGGATAAGATCCGACCAGTAAAGCACCTGAAGCTACACATAACTGTCCTCAAAATTATTGATGGGCTGATTGCTAAATTTACTGGATGACTGCAACTCGGCCCTCATAGGCTTGGGCTGACTCTATAAGGAGACCAACTAGCATCAAGCCGGCCCCAAATCGGTATCTTGCGCCAACGGGCGTAAAGGGCGCCACAGCCGCCACGACAACCTAAAAGAGGACCAGTTTCTACATTCGGCGCTTGAAGAAGCAGGCCCCCAAAGGACGTGAACCCTTCTGGGTCATTACGACATTAAACATTTTCGATATTGTCCAATCATCGCTTAGATAAAAAAAAATCCTGTTCTGAATAACTGACTCTCTTTTAACCCTAAAATAATTGTCTTAATGATAAAAGTGCCACACAAAACAAACAAAACTAGGACCATGCAGTCTTATCAGAACGCGAAATCTCTCCGCTTGGCGCAGTCGTGAGTTTTACATCGCAGCGCGTGCAGCAAAAGGTATCGCGCTGATCCTGCGCTGAGATTGGCGTGAACAGCACATCAAACATACATTGCAATTGAGGCGGACAAAGATGCAAAATCAAAGGTTAGCGCTCAGCGAAAACAATAACTTAATTTAGTTGTATTCAAGAAACAGCGGCGCTAGCGAGGGTAGCGAAAGAGATTGTACGCAAATCTGTACAACATAAAAAAAACGGCTGAGGGGTATACATAAGTAGTAGCTTTGTAAGCGCGTACGAGTGCATTACCTGGTGGCATGTCAACGCGCTTTCGATTGGCATGCAAACTGGTACCAGCGCGCTGAGAGTGCACCCACAATGCAAATGAAATAAAAATTAAAAAACAAGCCGAAGAAACACACAAAAGGCGCAATAGCGGTTGGCGTGTAAAGGGAGGGGAGTGCTGCCGCTGAGTTTTTTAAAAACAGCCAATTTGGCTGCACATTGCTCTAAGCGCCAATTACACACGCGCGCTTGCCTTGCTGCATTGTGCTCCGTTGCCTGCTAAATGTAGCTGGCGCTCGCATTTGCCCGGCTGCGCATGCGCATATGCATAAGCCACTTACTTACCTGGCCCCTGGTATGGTCAACAACAATTGCAACAATGTGCAACGGCGAACAATTGCAGCGTTAAGTGAGCAGCCCAAAAACGGCGCTACTATTTGACAAAGATCGCTAAGTGGCGATAAAAGCATTTAAGCTTTGTGCAGTTTTTTCAGTGCCACTATGCAATTGTTGAAAGGGGACTTGGAGGGCTTTTGTAAAGTAGCTGCTGAAGCATTTTTTTTTTGTGGCATTACAAAATCGTACACTGCTTCACAGCGAGAAGACAGTGGGCGCCAACAATTCAAAGCAAGCAATTAAAGCTTTAGTTGGTGGTAGCCTGCTGGCTGTTGGGCAATCGCGTTAAAAACGACTACCTTAAGTGGGCAGTAGCGCCTTTAATTACATTATTGCATTGTAAATGATTTACTTCGATTTATTTTGTGGATGGAAATTAATTTCTTTGCATTTAGGGTTAGTATCCCTGCACATTTAATTACAGGAGTATAGCAATTACAATTAGTAGGTAAATAATAAATTAAATTTAAAACTTAACTGTCAGTTAAGCAGACAAGGTCTTATCGAGGTAATTAAGTAAAAAAATAAATGCCACCGTCAATGAACTTATTTGGATGTGTTGAAGGATACCCCACAGCTTCACCTAATGACCTACGGCTCAACCGGAACGACTGTGATATCTCAGGATCCTTTTGGCCGAGACTCAATAAGCGACGTACTAAAGAACTATTGGCACTAAGCAAATCGATTAACCTCGGTTAGGCACTCATAGAGGGTATTCACAATGGCCAAATCTGCCCCCGTGTGTAAGTATGAGTCATTCGTGCTCCTCCTCCTAACCTAACCTAACTTATTTGGCTTTATCAGATCGGATTAATATCTGGCAAATCCACATCATATGGTGCCTTGGATGGCAAGAAGAGAAGCTACCAATGCACCGCGGTGTCTGATTTTGGTCTGTCCGCGAAATTTGATATCGGTCTAAACAACCGCTTCTTTGCTTTGCCTTTTCCAAGTTGGATGTGGAAACAAAGCGAATGGGTCTGGAGCAGTGTTGCCACAACGATTTTTTGTTTGTTACCAAAGTCATCAGAAAAAGTTATCACATTCCAAAAAGAAAATACCGAACGTATTGAATGTGGAGAATTATAAATAGATACATATATATGTATTCTTATTTGAAGAGACTAAGGCGGTCATGTAAGATTATCATAAAGTTAAGATCACACATCAAGTTTTTCCTGGCAATTAGTGATCATTTATATTGTAACAGGACATTATCAGGCGTTTAATTTTACGTAGAGGCGATGCTAGTGGGCCAACAATATAAGTATGTATATATATCAACAGGTTGTCGAAAATATCTCAAAAAGTTCAACACAATCACAAGTATAGAGGGCTACAGAAGCCTTCTCATAGTTCAGCTTCTTATCTAAAATAATGCCTAGGTAATTGAGTTTTGTTGCAAGAATTAACTAGGCGCCGCTATGCTCCGGTAGAGTAACCGAAGACATTTTATACTTTCTTGTAAAGAGGACGAGCTCCACCTTGCTTGAGCTGACGCTTACGCCACAGTGAGTGACCGACCACCTGGATACATCCCGAAGCAGCATAGTAGCTAACCAATAAACGCCATCAGCGAGTCCTCGCGGCGTCAGTTGGACGCGCCTTCAATATCCAATAAAAATACGAGTCAGAAGTTCTTAACGCTGAGGGACTTCTCGATATAAGCGACCAAGCTATGAAGTTCGGTCTCCGTAGATTTACATTTTTGGTACGCGAGTTGGTCATCACACAATAGGCGTCTGACGACGGTGTCAGAAAGGAAGCTGCTAACAATCCTTTCAAGTGTCTTAATGGCAAAGGAGGAATAGCTGATGGGCCTAAGGTAAGTAAATATACAAATTTTATTCGGACGATAAATTAATAATAATACGGATAGATCCGAAGGTGCAGTTTTATCTTTCATTTAGTGAGATAAGGTAAACGTTGTCAATATGGCTCAGGTAATTCCTAGTCTAAGGTAGCGTACTTGGAAAGCATGGGGCGAAAAATTTTTACACCATCGGATTTCCAAACAGAAATATGCCTCGCTTGCATTTTATGTGCTTACACACGTATGTATTTTCATTTCGGGAAAATTAATTTGTGTTTTCATTTGCTATTCGCCAAAGCCGAGAGCATACAGCTGTGTCCTTTTGCTCAATGACTGAAAAGTTTATTTTTATGTGTTTGTTTGAACTTAAATTTTTGCCATTTGGCGTCAACAGGTGGATTGGAATCATTCGTACTCCGACTTTTGTGATAATTTTAAGGCGAATTCCAGATATTGCAAGAAAAGCTCAGCCAAATACGTGGGACAAAATGTGTATTGTAAATAAATAAAAACTACAACAAAATTAATTTTACAAGCAATAAAACAATGAATTTATTTTCCACTCTTCCAGAAAGCACAAACTCGAAATTAGGTAACACCAACAAACATCATTGATCGATAAATATTTTTAAATCCATGCATCTAAATAACGCTGTGGCTACTATTGATTACTCAAATCAAAAACTGCATCTACATATATATTTTCTTTATATTTCCTCCCCAATTCACTTAAAGCAGCCGGTATTTAACAGCTCTCAGCATGGGGAACTTATCGCCGGTACACTGGCCACGGAAGTCATCCAAGGTGAGATCGAACAACGCCACGCCACCCAAATTCTTTGCCTTCACATAACCCGCCTTGCTAGCGGCCGTATCGGGATCCTCATAACTCACCCATACGCCGTTAGCGCCATCCTCATCAGCGGTGTGGAAAGCATAAGAGCCATAACGTTTGGTGGGATCGCTGATGCGACGTAATGGAGCCTCAGCACCTTTGGCATTGATATTCGAAGGGTTTGGCAGACGCTGGCAAACTTCGAGCCAATTGAGGAGACCTGGTGTCTTCGACACTGGACCAGCAGGTGCTGCGCCCTCCGTTGCAGGCACCACAGGCAAGCCAGTGGTACCGGAATCTTTAGACATTTTCCAAGCGCGTCCGTAGGTAGCAACGCCAACGTTAATCTTGTTGCCGGGTACGCGTTGCAGTATCCAATTCTCGACTTGGAAGTTAATATTGTAGTGCGGCAGACGATTTTGATCGTGCAACTCGTAGAGAGGTGCGGTGTAATCAGCTTCCTCCGGATTGCGTTCGGGTGTTAGGAAATCGAAGGTGGCCAAATTGATGAGGTCCAAGCTGTCGGCGATCGCTGGTGCGTCGAAGTACCCTGAAGAGGTGTATGCAAATACATAGCTAGTGAGTGAAAGACGGGTAGTAATGGAAGCAAGCGAAGATGTAGGTTTGTGATTGTCGCTCTGTGTAATAAATTTGCTTTACCGTTTTAGGGATCGAGCGATCGAGCCATAAAACTTTAGTTTACCGTTCATTCCTGCATCTTCGATTTTCTTGCTTCCTACAAACAACCTAAGTATTTTTAATGCTTACAACTCGAGTTGACATTTGGCAGCACCGTCAATGACAGCAACATATTATCCGCACGCAGCGTATTCTTCAGATCCTTAATTAAGTCTGTCAACTCTTCCTTGTGATCATCTGCCTTCTCGTCAACGATGAAGTCGCCTGTAAAGAACTTCTTGAAACTCTTCCACGCCGAACCGACGTCCGAATGCACCTTTCTCGGCTTGTTGCGCGGCAGCTGGAAAGCCAAATCCAAGCCATCAAAGTTGTAGCTACGCAAGAAGTCGCGCGCCGAGTCTATGAAGGCTGTTTGCTTTTGGCGGCCCGCCTCCAGCAGGTTTATATACTTCTCATGTTCGCCAGAGTCGCGATCGCCACCAACACTCAGCAAAAATTTCACGTATGGGAACTTATCTTTGAGCGCTGTGATGGTGGCGAAGTGACGCCGCTGTATATCCAGATTTTCATTGAGGCTCATCAGCTGGAAGGTGTCCGGCTTGATGCCCACATAGCCGTAGATGACGTGTGTGCAAAACTGCAAAGCAATTTCCAAATCAGCAGTGCTAAAATGGGCTGCACCTGTGGAAGAGATGTTAGTGGAGGGAAAAATTAGTGAAATTCAAAATGTAACCTGTATGCGTGGCGGCATTGGAATTGTAAAAGCACACTAAATTGCGTTCCAATATGGACGCGGACGCCCAGCACGTATACGCTAGGAAAGCTAGTGAGACAAGCAGAAATTTCATTTGGGACGTCTAATCTGCTTGCAGTACGAAATAGAAATAATATTTCCAAGCTAAAAATCAAGTTCGCGCATATAAAACAGCTTTCTCAGAAACTTATCAGCGTATGCCTTAAAGGTTCAGCGAGATCACTGGAAATACGCTCATTATCGCGGCGATAACACAGAAATATTGGCTAAAGGTTTTTTTAGGTAAAAAATTGATTGTTTATTTGGAAAAATAATGGAATATAGCAAAATAAAAATCGATAAAGTTTCGTGAAAAAATAGCAACGAGGATGTTTACAAACGGAACTTGGCTGCGCGCAAAATAGGATATTTATCCCCAGTACACAGCCCACGGAAGTCATCATAGCTTAGATCGAACAGCGCCAAGCCGCCCAAATTCTTCGAGTGCACATAAGCAGCTTTATTGGCAGCCGTATCGGGATCTTCGTAGCTCACCCACAAGCCGTGTTCGCCATTGCCGTCGGCTGGTCGGAATGCGTAAGTGCCATAACGCTTAGTAGGGTCGCTTACACGACGCAATGGTGCATCGGCGCCCTTCAGATAGGCATTGGCGGGATTCGGCAGTTTAGCGCACACCTCAGGCCAGGATAGTAAACCTGGTTTCTGGCTCTGCATGCCAGCAGGCGCTGGGCCATCTGTTTCCTGCACTACCGGTGTGCCGGTCATGCCTGAATCGCTGGATAGCTTCCAAGCGCGACCATAGGCGGCAATACCGACGTTGATTTTGCTGGCCGGACACTGCTGCGCAAGCCAATAATCGACCTGGAAGTTGACGTTGTAGTGTGGCAAACGGTTCTGATCGTAGAGCTCGTAGAGTGGCGCAGTGTAGTCGGCCTCTTGCGGATTGCGTTCGGGTGTCAGGAAATCGAAGGTTGCCAGCGTGACAAAGTCCAAATTGCCAACCAATGCTGGCACGTCAAAATACCCTGTGCAAAGAGTGTGAGTAAGTTTTACATACTTATTTAAAAGATTTTCAAGTGCACTTACAGGACGAGTTAACATTCGGCAGCACCGTTAGCGTGAGCATCATATTGTCCGGACGCAAAGCATTTTTCACATCACGCACAAACGCCGTGAATTCTTCCTTGTGCTGCTCGGCCTTCTCGTCCACTATGAAATCGCCCGTGAAGAGCTTCTTGAATTTCTTCCACACCATGCCGACGTCAGAGTGTACTTTGCGTGGTTTGTTGCGCGGAAATTGGAAGGATAAATCCAAGCCGTCGAAGCCATAGGAACGCACCAGCGAGTAGGCTGAGTTGATGAATGAAGTTTGCTTTACCTTCTCGCCCTCCAACAGCTCAAGATACTTGTTGGGATGCTCGGGATCGATATCTTGATCGCCACCAACACTCAGCAATACTTTCAGATGTGGATATTTACGCTTCAGCGCTGTGACCTCGGAATACTGATGCTTGCTTATGTCCAAGTCTTCGTGCAGACTCTGCACCTGATAGGTGTTTGGGTTGATACCGGCATAGCCGTAAATCAAGTGAGAGCAGAATTGTAGAGCGATCTCGAGGTCGGGTGTGAGCAGTTTGCCAAGACCTGCGTATAGGTAAATATTTTTTTTTTTTCGAAGTGTGAAGATCAAATAATATTTATTGTTTACTTTATTGCAATGCAATCATACATACATAGATACTACGTGCGTAAATGAAAATAGTGTATGCATGCGTGACAAAAATACAAAACAACAATACCCAAGTGTTAAAATGTATGGATGGGGGGGACAAAACGGACGGAATGGAATACAAAACAAAATGACGAATCACAATAACAAAAGTGAGTTTATTTCAAGGAAATAAACTATGTACATTACACTGCATCACCAAAAAAATTGCGGTTTTTCCGCCGGGATTACAATATCTACTAGATTTTAAAATCTATTCACGGAATCGTAATAATGAAATTTTTGATACTGTTTTTTTACTTTTTTCAAAGATTGATTTACGAAAAACTTAAATAACTGGACCAAAACTATTCTGATTTACACTTATGGGATCTCAGTAAAAAGGTATTTTCCCACTATTTTTATTTATGTGCAAAAGAAAGTCATTCGTGTCCCAATTTTTTTTTTCAAATACCAACACATCTTAATTCAACTTTGAATGATGTTCGTTCATCCTACCTTTCTCTTTCATCCTTTGAATGAGCTTATTAGCAAAGAAATAAGAAGGGTGAGAAAATTCCTTTCCAATGATTCCCCACAAGTCTAAATCGGAAGAGTTTAGCTTCAGTTATTCAAGTTTTTCTTATACCAATCTTTGAAAAACGTTAAAATAAAGCATCAAAAATCTGATTATTACGATTCCGTTATTTTTTTAAATTTTTTTTTTTTAATATTTTTATGTAAACTTTTAACCGTTTTGTCATTTAAGGGGATTTTTTCAAAAAACATCTTTAAGAAACAATTTTTGGAGGTATTTTCAAATCGGTCCAGCTCACTTAAATCTTAATATTTTTCGAAAATATTTTGGTGGACATCTTAAAATATAATAGATTTTATAATTCCAATGGAAAAATAGTGCCAATTTTGTTTTTGTATGGGGAGTGATGCAGTCTAATGTACATACTTAATTTACATATGTAAATTACATACACCGGAAAAATTAAAATAAGCACATCTCAAAGCCCCTCAAAAATTGCAATAGAACGCCTAGTGCGGCGGTGCTTTTTATTTGGAAATCTTTTATTTTTTTTTTGTTTTGTTGCTCATTTTGATCTGGACTGTGAAGCACCGCTTATTGTCTGATCACAACAATAGTAGTATCTACATGAATGTAGATGAAGCTTACGTCATTAACAGGTTCCAGCTTCTGGCTAGGCTAGCTATGTGATTCACACTGCGACTTGTCACTTGTCATACGAATGCTAATAAATTCAGCAGTGGAATACTAATGTATATATGTATTTATGTATCTATTTTTCAGAGTGTTGTGAGAGGTGTTGGCGGTCAATTGAGTGGTTAGCGGTCAAGTGATATTGTGTGAACTGCGTATGTATCTACGTTTTATAGTGCATAGTATTAGGTCGGGTCACTTATTTTTTTGAACATTTTAACGATTTTCTTCCATAATTGAATAATTTTTGTGCACTTCTGAAAATTGTATTTATTTCAAGAAAACTATTTTTTTTTTTAATAATTTTTCACTTAAAAGATTTTTAAATAAATTTTTTATTAAAAAAAAATTTACCATTTACACACAAATTCACATATTCACAAATTTAAATATCTTCAAATTATTACTTCCTACCAAACATATACTTAAAAAAAGAAGTAATTTACAACAGTGATGCAAAAGTTGCTTTTTTTATTTTACTCTCGCCATTCATACTGTAACGATACACCATTTTAGGTACATTCAGAAAGTATTCCAATGAAATTTCTACTTTTTCCTACACTACAAATAAACAAACGCTTATTAAGTTTAGCTAGAACCAAAAAAATCTTCACCAATTCCCACTCTCTTTTGCGATATTTTTCCAGATATTCAGACCTATTTCATACATGTATATCTTTATTAGTTTAGTCAGTGCCATTTGACTATATCGATACTCGTCGTCTACGGAATCAGGGTCACAGATCCTATTCCCAAACTTTTTTCATTTTGTATAGATATATCATCCATATCGTGACATAAAAAAAAAACGAGAATGATTGTGGGAAATGGTCTTTAATGTTTCGAAGCTAAAAGCACTTCAACCACCAGCTCGATCTGTTTTTTTTACGCCTCTAAACTACAAAAAGCCGTGATCTATGTATAAGGTTAAGGCTGAGATCTGTAAGGTTAAGACCAACGATAACAAATACATCTGAGCAACCTCAGCAAATGACAGCATACTCAGGAGTAGAATCATCATTTTCAGGAACTACATACATATCACCTTACAAGCAAACAAAAAAAAAAGTTCGCCCTACACCAACTAACGACAGCCCTGAGTCCAGTTTTCAAAGAAGAATTTTTTATAGCCGAAGCTAGCGACCGCCTTTTTAGATTTTTCGGTGACACCATACACAGGAATAAAACAATGTTTTAAAATAGTTCTACGTTAGGGTGATAAATTAACCCTTGGAATAACTGTAAAAATATATACTTTTATTAATTTTTAAGGTACATTTATCTGCTGTTACGTCGAATGAATTGTTCCGGCATTCTGAAAATTTCATTTTGTTAAGATCGATTTATTAAATAAAAAATGATGCATCCTAATGTTTATGCTTCTGTGAACATATTTATATTTGAGCACGCGTACTGTGGAATTTCAATTAATTGTGAATTTTTGTATTCATTATTTTGTTTATTTTTAATTGAATAAAATGATGATCGTTTCACTCAAATGTACTATATCATACATAGATATGTAAATTTTATGTCAAGAGCCCATAATTAGATAAACCAACCAGCTACATAAAATATGTACACATATCAATTCCTCTCCACACATATTTTAGTCGGGTTCAATGTAACAGCTTTGTGATACTTTTGTCATTCTAATCCGCGGCTTATTGTTCTACACCGCAACCTTCTGATAAGCCAGTGACCCATCTTTGTGTGCAGCTGATACGCAGCTTCCGAGACATGTGATAATTTTTAAAGCTACACTTGTTTACAAAGTATGTACATATGTACATAAGTACTTAGTCCTAAGTTACATGGCGCGTTATCTTTTTTTAGTTATTTATTGCAAAAACAATAATCTCAATGTAGGGTAAATTTGCTGGTAAAAGTATTGAATATTTGCTTGTGTAATTATAAGCGAATACAACTGAGAAAAATAAAGTCAATTACTTTAGATTAATTACTTCCTTAGAAAAAGTACAACTAAATAAATATATATGTCTATATCTGTATACATATGCATGTATGTATAGAAAGTGAAACGTTCGCATAAAAAAAAATAGTAAACAGGAAAAACTGCATCAATTATAATGCTACGAAACCGCATTGAATTACTTATTCCAAACGTTTGTATGTATTAGGGTTGTCCTACATCTCAATTTTATATGGTGAACCGGTTTATTTTGTTCTACCTACAAAATATAGACATCCACGAAAATTTAAAAAAAAAATTTAGGGTTTGAAAAAATTTTTATTTTCAAAAATTGCAAAATTTCGACCTGTTTTCGACTTCAAATCTGGAATATTTCCTCTGGCCCTCTGGCCTCATATTAGGACTACTATCCATAAGTCAACGTGCCTATACGAAGGGAAAGTCCACAGAAATAGGTCTTCCCATCGTAGGGTAGCGTAGAGTGGCGTCTCTTTTGGCATAGATAGCTGGCTCGAAAATACTTTGAGGTGTCAAACAGTAAAGGCTGACTGGAGCTCATCTATGACTTGAACCAAGGAGGTTTTTTTTATCCCCGTATGACCAAGCCATCATCATTATAGTAGATGCCTTCAGTCGTTAAGTATAATACTCTGCGGGTGCGGGGTTTTGCGGAAATATATGTGTTACTGTACAAAGAAGGTGAAACTGTAAGTCGTAAGAGGCAATAAACTGAACTGGATATTGTATGTGGAAGAAAAGTTTCTCCAAATTCTCCACCTCTAATATACCAGATATTGGTATGGTAGACCACAGTAAATAAAACGACTTACACCAGAACGTTGGGGGACGTATACAGACTAGCCAATTTATGTATAACAAGAGCACTTAGTGACCTAGAACATCGCAGAAAAGTCTGCGCTCTGACTTAAACTTCCAAGACAGTTGACTCAGCGGATATTTTGTTACAGTTCTCTGAACGATTGCCAAGATTACGTTATTCCTCAAATCAATTTCAAAAGGGGACTTGACCTAATACGAGTAATACAAAACGATAGGGTGGGCAGAGAGCTTTGGTACAATCCCCAAATATATATGTAATGTCTGTACAGATGGGGGAGCGTCTGTATTCTGCTAGAAACTTGAAGCTTACGTTACCCGAAAAACCATCCCTATCTCTAGTGTGAACATATTCATTGGCACTCAGGCTGCCATTAAGACAGTAAATTCTGTGATGGCAGTGCAGATCCAAAATATATGAAATTTATAGTAACAGAAAAGTGACTTATCAACTAGAGACCAAGACTGATGCGCCATTAAAAATCGATGAAAGACTATCATCGGCTAATGAGGACCGCGTCTATAAGCAATCTCAGGACGAAGTTAGACATAGCATTAGAATATGAAGCAAAATACTACAAACTGTCAAGAAATCGAATTTTACTGCAATGATTTTCTGAAGCATAGGACTAATGGCGTTATTTTTTCTACCTTCTCAGCGCCCTCTACGCACAAATCCAAAAGAGGTGGCAATGAAAAGGCAAAATTGTGTGTAGAAAAGTAATCGCTATTACTCTATGCTCTACTTACTGCTCTTAGTGCTTGCGGGACACAGTCTCACACCATCTTAAGCCGCAAAGTAGGACTGCTGCAGAGTGGATCATAAAAATCAACGAAGGCAACGCCAGAAGGTATCGTTGGACCACTTCTGTTCTCACTCTCGATGGCACAAGCGACCAGTTGTAGTTTACATGAGGCATCCAGTAGGATCTCAGCCAAGCTAATCTAACTCAACTCAATAGTATTTATGATGACGAGTCTTTCTAATGGCATGAGAAACATTTTTGCGTAGCCTAAGTGAAATAGAAACTTAAATTTTTTTTTGTACTCTCAAGTCTGTAAATTCGATGGGGAAAACCATAACTGATGCGATGTCTACCAGGGTGTGGACTACCTCGCGTCTTTTTCACTAATTTTAAGGCTGAAAATCGTGATCGATACATAGATTAATGTACCTAACCACACTAGTAAACAAATTTAAAGAAATTTTGGAAGGACATTGTTGCCTTTCGTTTGGTTATATAAATTCGGTGTGATCCCAGGCTCAGGATCATCAGCATATAGCTGTCAAGGCTTTTTACAAGCAAAAATTTTAAATTATGTATCAGTTGTTACGAAATCGGTGGAATTTCATATTTACCAAGGGACCTGATTTCCTGCAACAAAATTTAAATACATTTTAGGGTCGTTTGCGGAAGAAAAAAAAAACTTTGCTGAATCATACGTTAACGAACAACGAGATTTATTATAAGTTTTATAACGTATAAATTGAAAAATAATATGAATCTTATCTTTAGTAATCTATTATGCACCCCATCTGAGTGTAACCAAGAAATTCCACAAAACTACAACAAATAAGTGCTTTTACTTTCCATGGCCACACGCGCACAAACAGACAATTAAACGAACAAACAAACAAATGTCGTAAATGAGATTTATCTAGAAAATAAATATTTGCGATTGCCAACATAGGCTTGTGCTTCCTCACCTTCGCGTATATAGCTGGCCGAGTCATAGTAGCAGACGAGATTAGCGGCGCTCGATTGGGCAACCAGCAGGCCCAGTGCCAGTGAAAGTAAGGCGAATAACTTCATCTTACAAAAAAATACTGGATTAACAAGTTGTAAATAATGCCACCGATGTGTAATTTATGCGTTTACTTGATAAAGAACGAACTGCACAAAACAAAAGTAAAATTGAAACTAAAATCGTTGAGCTATAAATGTCACTGAGCCGCAAATGAAATGAATGCTACCACCGTTGGTCAGCTGGGCGTGAGGAACTGAGCTTCAAAAGCTCAACTCAAGTTTGGTGGAGAGCTCACGTGGTGGTGGTACTACGCGCAGATCGAGTTCGAACAGCTGATCGACGGAGCTTTGAGTGCGTTTGGAGTGCGAGAAAAGTGATAAGCAGCCGGTGCTTTTTTTTTTTTAAAGAGCAGCATTTGTATGAGGGAAGATTCGGGGGAGGAATTAGAATTAAGTTGATTGTGGGTGAGTAAGCGCTCGGAAATAGGAGCACGTCAACAAATATTAGCATACAAATGCGTGTTTGTACTCGTAAATTAATGTTCTCGAACTTATTTCGAGTGCCAGTGCTTGCGATTGCCGAGAGGCGAGAAACGAAAGCGCAATAAATGGACAACAAAAGATTTGTTTGTGTTATTTTTAAATTTGAGTTCATATTTTCTGATTATAGCTGCTTTGCACGATTTGCTGCGGTACTTAAAATACAAATTAATCGATTTAGTAAACAAATAAGAAAAAAAAATAACAAGTCAAGCAGTGAGTCCAAATAAAGAAGCAAGCGTTGAGTAATCGCTCAAACATCACACGTTTCAGGGTCAAACCGAGAAGGTTATACTCTAAGGCGACTACTGGCGTTCGATTAGAATAGAACTCAATCAATAAAATATCGCGTAATTTACGAATATGGCATTTTATTTAATTTTCTAACACAACTAAGTAAAACCGTACAATTATTTACCATAAAAAATAAAATATACATAACTATACATCTATAGACTAAACTTATAAGAAGTGTTTGATTGCGCGCAAAATGGGGTACCTCGAACCGGTGCAAAGTCCACGAAAATCATCATAACTCAAATCGTAGAGCGCCACACCGCCCAACCCCTTGGTGCGCACATAGCTCGCTTTTATCGCAGCAAAATCCGGATCATCGTAGCTCACCCAAATGCCATGCTCGCCATTATCGTCCGCCGGTCGCAGAGCATAATTACCATAACGCTGCTGCAAATCGGTCACCTTGCGTAGGGGTGCATTCTCACCACGATATTCAGCATTCACTTTATTCGGCATTTTGGCGCAAATCTCTGGCCAACTGAGCAGTCCAGGAATTTGCGATTGTAGGCCAGCTGGCGCAGGGCCATCTGTTTCAGGAACAACGGGCGCGCCGGAGAAGCCCGAATTGGGTGTCATTTTCCAAGCGCGTCCATAGGTCGCAATGCCAAGGTTCAACTTCTGTGCTGGACATTGATTCTGTAGCCAATAGTCCACTTGAAATTCTATGTTGTAGTGTGGCAGGCGATTTTGTTCGACGGGAGGATAGATGGGTGCCGTGTAGTCCGCCTCTTCGGGATTGCGTTCCGGTGTGAGAAAGTCGAAGGCGAGTAGATTGATGAATTCGAAATTATTTTTGATTTTTGGCACATCAAAGTACCCTGAAATGAGGAAAGTGTGTGTGAAATTAAACTTAAAATAACAGAAGTTTGATCCATTTAATAATAATAAAGCTAGGAACTAGAGCAGGGAGTGAAAAACAAAGTTATCCTACATTTAAGATACTGCCATCAAGCAGTTGCTATAAAAAAAATTTTAAATAATGTGTCTGAGAGCCTCTTTCACAATAGAAGAATTGAATGTCTTCCTTATCAACTGCTGGAGCTCTCAGTAATGGCACCAAAGATGTCATAGTGATTACTTTGAAGGATAAATTATAAATCTTGCAAAGGCCAACTGACAAGGAACTGCTGAGATGCTTGAATCTTATCATCCTCCTGATAGCTCAGACAAAACGGGTCGCAAATGATATTAGTTTGTACCTAATGGATTACCACCTAGAAGTACTTTGCAATTTGGGGGAATTTCGCTGAGCGTGAGAGATGACCTCAAGTGTGCCTTGCCCAACCAATTAATCAACCACGCAGCTCCCTGCAATGTAACTGTACCTTCGGACCCAAATAAGTCTAAATTGGAAGTAATCCGAGGAAGACTGAGAGTGATGACGGTCATTCCTCGGCCAGTTTCGATCATACATGGATACCACAATAGACACTTGCACTCGTAATCGGTATTACACTGGTCTAGCCATTGATTATTTTCTCTATAAGAGACACATCTGTCTTAAATGCTCTGACATTTCATAGAGGGATGTGTGTAGACAAGGACCTTGTCGGAATGAGCCTCGGTACGCGCTGATCCGAAAGCTTGGCATTACATTTTTTATATCTCCTTGTTAATAAACTGAGCTCTTAACAGGATTGGCAAAAAGTATTCCGACCAATTCCTTGGTCCAGAAGCTTTTCCCATAGCGAGCATAGGCGAGTAGCATCCTTTGCGGAGTACTTCTTCTCAACACACGCTGAACAGTGTCACTGCAACTACCAACAGTTCTGTTGCGGATCCTCCGGGCTATAAGCCAAACGAAGTTGTTCTCGACTCCAAGATAAGCCCGGGATTTTTCTATCGCTTCACTTAGCCCATTACTAAAAGTCCCTTCGGTAGGCGACCCGGATTCACTGATCCACCCTTCAGGTAGGCATGCTGAGAGCGACATAATCTCTCCTAAATAATTATATTTCTTATATATATACTTGCAGGTAAATCAGTATCAGAAGGATATTCAACCAGAAGGAAGAGAGGCCTGGTAGGTACGCTTTGCTACCATTGCTTTTTGAAACAGAAACCTGCGATATAAGTAAGCGGTAGACTGGTATGCATATATCTAAGGCCGAGCTGTGGAGCTTTGCAACTCCAACTTTTCCAGTCTGCGAAAATCCTGAACTGCTACAAATTATCAGCTTCCTTAGATTTGCTAGGGTCTGTGGGATCATTGTAGGCATCAAAAGCCCTGATTGCAAGTAGACTAAAGGTCTCTAAGTACTCACTAAGATCTCCTCTCTGACCTATACATATAACTGCCTATGTCCTCCACAATAATATTTATTGATTACTTATATCCTCCGAAATACTCACATGTTGAATTAACATTCGGCAATACAGTCATCGACAGCGAAAGATTCGAGCGCTGCAAAGCTGTGCGCAAATTTTGTGTAAATTCCGTATACTGTTCCTTATGCTCACTAGCTAGCGGATCCACAACGTAGTCACCGGTGAATATCTTCTTGAATTGCTTCCAAACCGAACCCACAGAGCCATGCACCTTCCTCGGCTTATTGCGTGGCAATTGGAATGCCAAATCGAGACCATCAAAGCCATTGCGTTTCAGCAGCGAAATTGCGCTATCAATGAAATTCTGTTGATCTGCGCGTCCACTCTCCAATAGGCCAATATATTTAAGGGGATTTGCCTCATCCACATCGCGATCGCCACCAACACTTAGAAATACTTTCATCTTCGGGTATTTCGCCTTTAGCAGCACAATTTCGTGATAATGAAACATATCAAGATCGACATTGAGACTGAAGACCTCGAACGTCTGCGGCTTAAGGCCAGCATAGCCGTAAATCAGATGCGAGCAGAAGTTAAGGCCAAGCTCAAGGTCAGAGGGCAGTAGTTTGGCGAAGCCTGCAAGTAGAGTGGAGAAAGCAAAGATATACAAAAGTTTAGTATAGAATTAAAAAAAAAAATTTGTGTAACTTACCTTGACGCAGATAACTGGCTGAGTCGTAAAAGCAAACCAAATTCTTTTCAGCAGCAAATGCGGCTGGCGGCTGCGCCAGTGCGAATAGTAATAGAAGCGTGCAGAGGGAACGCATTTTGTTAGATTAAATTTAAATAAAAATATATATATTTTTTATTAAACACACAATTTAGTAAGAATTTTAGCGAACTTGTCTTGAGCAGTTAAAAATCGAAACTGATTCCGGACAACGGATTTGCAATTTTCGAAGTCTGAATAAACGACAGTCGTTAAATAGCGTCGTCATGATTAAGACTGAGCTCACCGACTTGCTTATCTCATAAATTGTTGGTATATTGCTGTTTATTTGTTTATTCTAAATTATCAGGTTTCTGAATCGTTTACCTACAGCCTCTAGGACTCATGTATTTACATACATATATATACAGTGACGAACAAAAGTATTGGCACAGTGAATTTTTCGCCATATATGCAAAGTTTTTTATTGTAATTTATTTTCGATAATTTTTTATAAAAATATAGTTCATTTTACACCAGAAATCGTAATAATAAAATCTCTAAACTTTGTGCAAAACTCAGGAAAATTCTTTAAATTTGCACACTAATTTGCAACTTTTTATTCAGATTTATTAGAAAAATTCAAGGTACGCAGTTTTATAGCCCATTCAAATTTAGTACAACAAAGTGCAAGTTTAAAGTTGCTATAAAATCGCGTTGATTTTTGGCAATTTTTTTAGTGGAAGGTGTTGCTCATTTTCTCCATACAAAAAATAATTGTCGAATTACTTTGTATGGAAGAACTTGCGTGAAAAAAAATACCAAAAATCAATGCGATTTTCTAGGGACTTCAAACTTGCACTTTGTTATTCTAAATTTGAATGGGCTATAAAACTGCATACTTAGAATTTTTCTAAAAAATCTGAATAAAAAGTTGCAAGTAAGTGTGCAAATTTAATGAATTTTCCTGAGTTTTTCACAAAGTTTAGAGATTTTATTATTATGTTTTCTGGTGTAGAATGAACAATATTTTTACAAAAAATTATCAAAAATAAATTAGAATAAAGAACTTTGCATATATTGCGAAAAATTCACTGTGCCAATACTTCTGTTCGGCACTGTATGTATGTATGTTTGTGGGTTTTTGAATACTGTTTTTTTTTTTGAATGCTCACGTCATACAACGAACCTGAAGTGCTCAATTCGCCTGAGCACTTGAAGTGACAGATCTCAGCTCATTAACATCATTTGTGTAGCTTATGAGCTGAGAAAACAGGTTTCTGATGTAAATATTTTATTTTTGTTTTAGTTTCTTGCAAAACATATTGCAACTAAACTTACATGCAAATATATGCCATTTGCATACCGATAAACTTACATACAAAATTGTATTTGAGGAATGACT